AAGTTATGCAGACATTTTTTACAGTTATTTTAGAGTTTTAATCGAAAGCAAATTGATGCGGAATCATCGCATACTAATATCTATATAACCATTCCTTAAAGTGGTAATATAGGCTTAAGAAACCGTTGTATGTGTAAAACTAAATAGTAAAAGTGACAGTATAGAATCACTATAAATCATTTTAATTGTATTAGCTGAAATGTTGTATAGAATAGTTGCACAAATATAACAATTTTATAGTTACTGTGAAAAATATTTTATTAATTTGCTGTATGAATATTGTATAAAATAATTGACATAAAAATTTAGTTTCGGAGAACAAAATAGTGCTTCCTGCAGTTTTAATAAAACAAATTAGCATTCCAAAAACAACAATGTATTATCAATTAAATTAAAATAAATCTACTTTGCTAGTTGGGGAACGATGTAGACACTCTGTATAAAGTTATATAGTGGCATGGATAGAAGATGCATGTCTTGAAATTTCCTGCCTCTAAATAAATGTTACGGTTAAATTTTGATTACTATAAGTTATCGGTATTAAGTTAATTGGTTTGGTAATTTGATATCCATTATTTTATTACAAAAACTAAACAAGAGTAATTTAATTAAAGTTTAAAATTAACTGGGTTTTCCGTTTTTATTATAAAATATAAATTATTCAATTAACAGTAACATTTATTTTAATACATTAGTAAAAACACAAATAAAATTTGAAGTGTAAATAGTAGTTTGTGCAACAAGAGTGGATATGACGGCCATATCGCTCGAAGACGAAATTTGAGCACGATGCCGTAGGCGGAGTGCTCAATCGTCTGAGTGCGATGTGGACAATCCACTCGAGTTGTACAGTACATTTTTTCTAAGACCCACTAACGAATATTTACAAATAAAAAAAAATTAGGTTATTAAGACAAAATAACTAATTTTTAATTAATTTATGACTTTTAATAATTTTTAAAACAAAATAAACGAAAAAAAAAAGAAAAAGTTGATTTCATTTTTCTCCATCCGAGAATTGAATTGAACTCCAGTCTTCCTTGTGGAAGGCAAGAAAGCTAACCTCAGGACCACCTATTCTTTATATAGTTTTATTTAAAAAATATATTGACAATTAGTTTGACAGAATTGTCACTTATTTAAAATTTTAAAAATAATAGCAGTCGGTTGATCAAAATATAAACGGTGATTGGTGGATTTAATTTTTTTGCAGTGTTCTCATTACCTACAATGGATATGAAATATATTTGTTCAGATGAAGGCAATAGTATACTTTTTCGTTTTGTAATCTGTGCGTAGAAAAGCTAATATCCATATGGGTATGTTATAATACCGACAAAATATTTTAACAAAACAATAAACAACCAAAAATATTACCTTTGAAATAAAAATAGACATTTTATAATTAGAAATTTAAAACAACAGTATTTACTCAGAAAATATGATCTAATGAAAAAAAGTACTAAAACATAAATCTCATGAAATGAAAAGTTTAAAAATACTAAGACTACCTTATAATTAAATATAAATTAATTTTTCTAGCTTTCTGAGAAGCAAATTTCTCAATGATTTCAGTGAAATCAATTTTTTCAGAGATTTCGGATTTAATGGACAAATCTGAAAGCATTTCTTCTATCATAATAGTAATTTTAAAAATTTTTAATTTACTTCTTCCACCTGAAGCAACAGAAATCGGTAAGATTAAAAAAAGTCTTATTGCTAGAACAAAATTTGGAAAACAGGGAATGAGATAATTTTTACCTGGAAAAATATCTTTAAATGAAATTATTTTAATAGGAGTTGTATAATGTCTATATCTTTCACAATACTTCTTTCTTCCTGTACCTGTAAGTCCATGCAACCTTTCATGAGAGCACTAGTAGAAATGTGAAATTCATTCAAGAAGCAGAATATTAAATAGCATTGAGAAATAACGTAAATCTTTCATTTACCGAAGAGATCGCATGATCAAGAATTTCAAAATAGAAAGTAGTCTTGAATTGCTGTATTTTCTAAAGAGGAAATTTTGTTTTGTATATCGGAAGAAATTGAAGAAATTATAGAAGAAGCATCATCCGAATATAGATACATTTCCGGATCCAAACCTTCCCTTTCTATTGCTTCTTTAAGCCGCTTTGTCAGCTCTGCTTTCTTCCCTGTCCTCTCCAACTCATGATCTTCTAATTCCCGATGTAACTTCGTCACTTTTAAATCACTTAGTTTTTTTAACCATTTTTGTCCACTATTTATTTACAGTTTCACTTCTAACACTAATGTAACGTTTATTTAATTTAAATATAGTTTATATATTTATTTAAAATACTTTATTTACAATTTATTTATAACGTACTAATTAATTTATATATATATATATATATATATATATAATACTTAGGCACTATTATAACTCACATTCTAATTTATTTATTACAATTTATCTTTACTATCCGACACTTAAATTGAATCTTCCCGTCCATCGACAAACTCGCGCTATTTATATAAAGTCAGCTCTGCACCAGAGCATTCTCGGCTATCTAGAATGTTCTAGAACTCCCTCACTATGACACAGACGCCACACAGCGATCTATCCGCTAGCTTCTAGAAGCAGTGCGTTAGTCTCTATATGGCTAGTGCTAGACTTCATACTGCGGGCAAAGAACAGAGTCGGCTTCACGCCACAGTATGAACAGCCATTCTCCTCAACTCGAAACTTAAAATTTGCCATTTTTTTATGATCAAATTCTACCAATAAATCAATATTTTTGTTTTCTTTAAAATGTCAAGTGTCTGGATCATCTAGTGTTATTTGAGCAGAACTCTCTTCCCATTCGACTTCAGGTGGTCCAGTGCTCGTACGCTCTAAGGTCTTGGTAAAAATGAAAACCTCAAAAATCCTCCTGGTCCACATACTTTGATTACTATACGGTGCAAGAGAGAAGTCCGACACGCCCAACACAGGGTACGGCCATTTTGATTCCTATGCCACAGTTTATAGCTATAGAATCAGATCGCTCACTCTGCGTCGGCACTTTTGAACTCAATGTTCCAGTTTATACACTGCGCAACTCGGATAATACAATATATGACAACCGCCTATAATAAAACAGCAGTCTTCTGCGTATCCTGAATTTGTATCCCTGGAGTGGATGTTATTTTGGAACTTTCAACTGGTCCGAGTGAGCTAACTGATTCTTTAGCAATAAACTGTGACTCCAAAATAATATTCACTGATCCAAGGGTCCCGGGTTCGAATCCCACCGTTGGCCGAAATTTTTTCATTTAATTTAATTATTTAAAATTAATTCTGATGCCTTGGTAGGATTCCCCACTCGACCATTCACTGTTGGGTTCTAATTAACAGTGCTGTTCCTAAAGTGGCGCTGGGAAACAGTAACAAAGCCTACACAGAACACGAGATAAAATAACCCTGGTAGTTGAAGCCGATGATACACCAAAAAAAAAATTCACTGACACTGACAGCAGCAAGCAAAATATCAGGTGCGTTTTAATCATCCGTTTCTGCTTCCGGAATTGTCGGTTTAGTCGTTCTAACCTGTCAGATTAAAACAAGAAAACCGACAATTCCGAAGCAGAAGCGGATGATTAAAACGCACCTATTAAAAATATTGCGCCAAGATGTAGGCAACACGTAATAAGGGTCAAAATGGCGGAGTTTTCTATCTCCTTTTAAAAGGCACTCAGAAAGCTGCGCAGTGCGACTAGTGCGACCATTCTCCGTATAGTAAAAGAAAATCAAAGTATGTGTTTAAAAGGCACTCAGAAAGCTGCGCAGTGCGACCATTCTCCGTATAGTAAACAAAATTCAAAGTTTGTGTCCTGGTCTGTTACCCAATTTTGTGACAAATAGAATATCTATATCATCGACAAACTTCCTACTTTAACGTTTTCTGGGTTTGATATGTCAGATATAGACATTAGATACAGTGCGTGTCCAATGTCGGCAAATAAACTATAACTACAAGACGGCAGAGCTGTATTTATCGAACATAACACTGTATAAATAATAAAGCTTAATCCACTATAGGTTTTGTTTAGATTAATTTTCCCAAAGCTGTTTTTTAGCCACCACATTGGTTTAAAATATTTTTTAAACCATATTTAAAGTGACGTCATGAATTATTAGATGGCAAAAATAGGGTGTTTTAAAAATATAATCTGCTGTCATATGACAAAATTTTTTTGATCGTATTTTTTTTTTAATGATTGTTAAATCAGATGAAGGAAGATAAGTGTTTGATAGCGATTTTAAGTAAAAATTGAAGTGTTTTTAATAGGTACATTGGAATCTGAAACGTTATTATTTTATTTTTGGTATTTTTCTTGTCAATAAACATATGGTATCATATTTATTCCGTAGTTCCACAGATACGCGATTGTCTAACGATTATTTGCTGTAGATTTGTTGGGCTTTTCCAAAGTTCATCAACTGCCAAAGAACGTTTAATTGCTTTTAAATATGTGCTGGCAAATTCAGAATCTGAAGCAAACTACGTAATTATTTTTGTAAAAAACGTACAATTAATAAGTAATCCTTTAACCTTACTTTAACTGAATTATTGTTTCATAATCAAGAGTAACCCATAGGTAGATCACATTGTTCAACTGTTTATGATGACCATAAATATTAATATTTGTATTAAAACATTATAACCAATTAATGTATGAATATGAATCACATAATATATGTATGAAGTTATCAAAAATCAATAAAAATCAACAAAACGTCAAATATATCAAAATGTTCAAAGATGGAACAGAGCAAAACAACATACAACAGCCACAATCAGAATCTCTTATGTGTCAACCGTTATTGAACCATATGCCTCCGACTGGTTCAAAAATTCTAGCTTTGGTTTAAAATATTTCGTACACGACGTCATAGTTGCATCACTAAAATTTAAACGGTTTAAAACAGTCGAAAATATTTTAAACCATACACTCGCTAAAAAATACCTCAAATTGGTTTGCTTTCAAATTTTTTATTTCAAGATAGTCAAAACTAAAGGCTTATCTATGTCTCATGTAGTGATCATTCTGACACAGTTATTTGAACATAAAAATTGTCAGTCATTGTCGTTATTCAAAAATGTATTAGATAAATATTTATGTTTAACTATAAATTATGGTACCTGCGGTAGTTTTGTAAGCAGTTTTGGGAAGAAAGCAAAATTATTACAAAAAATAATTCGTAGTTATTCGTACTGCTTATTAGGGCATCAAAAGAAGCAGAATGAAACTGAAACCATTAAAATTCGAAAATTATGAAAGACGTGCCAAATATTATATCTCCAAAACCGATGATGGAGGATTACATGTTAAATTTAAACTCAGAAATCTTATGGATACCAGAGGTCCCAAAGTGTCAGGAGGTGTTTTAAGAGAGCAATATGTTTTAGGTAAGTCTACTTAGGCAGATTTCCTGTTACTACTTTTCGCTTGTAACAATGAATTTTTGCATAACCGTTCTAAACATTTTAAAATACCATTATCCATTTGTTTTGTTTGGCATTAACTTATAACACTGTTTTTACTTTTAAAGAATGAAAATATCTCAACCATTCAAAGCTATTTAGTCTGTCATTTCTATATAATAACTTCAAACATACCGGTTGCAGATATAACATTTTTTTGTAACAAAAGTGGTCCCTAGAAATCCCTTGAAATGATTTTAAAATTTCTACCTCCATCGTGGAAATGTCTCTGGAAGAGTAGCATTTTTTGCACGTTTCGTAGAAGAATTTATTTTCTGTTTTGAATAGCAGTTTTCTTCTAGATTCAATTAGTCATTAAAACATGTTTCAGATAATCTTCATTTTCACTTACCTTCGGAACAAATGATATACGGAAAAAGTTATCCAGTTGAAGCCCATTTTGTACATTATAGAAGATCCTTGGGAAGCATGGAAAGGGCTAAAAGCTCAAGAATAGCAGAAGCAGTAGCTATAATATCCATAATGTACGAAGTATACGTCACTGAATGTCCGAAGACAATACTTTTTGAAGCTTTAAATCGCTTAAGTTTAAGTTGTTGCAATAATATTGAAACTCAATTTAGACTTAGAGATATTCTTCCATCTTACCTAAGAAGTTACTATACATACAAAACTAGTCAAGATTCAGGTAAATTATTGCCTCGTAAATAAAGTATGTAGTTTCTAAATATGAAATTTAGTATTGCGGAAATAACTGTCCTAATTTTAACAGTTGATATAGTCTGTCACTAAAAACCAATCATTTAGTGTAAAACACACACAGCAAGCGAAAATTTGACTAGATTAACTCATATTTATATTAGGTATGCTTGAGAAAGTTCGATCATGTTCATATTTTGTCACAGGCAAAATAATACCCTTTATTAATCAGAAGCTACAATAATTGCCATACTTCATTTGACTATTTCTACTGTTTACTATATCCTATATTAAAACCAGTGCCCATTTTTTTGACAGCACCATCATAATAAACACGTAAATAATTTTTGACTCCATCTATTTATAATTTTGGTTTATACAGGTATTTTCAGAGGTGGTCCAAGCACAATCTGGATAACCATGGCTGTTCCCGGAATATTGTCGTATTGGCAATACTCACAACTCACGAACGTGATGAAATCAAAAATGTGCTCTACACAAGAAGTGGCTACCAAATGTCCTAGATTTGTTATCAACGGCTGTTTTATTACTCCAGAAAAGCCCCGATCAAGCCCAACTCCTGGAAAAAATGCTGCTACGTCGTACTCAGATTCTACCCAACCAAATTCATATGGCTGGGTAAGACAAACTATACCGATGTTTTGCTTTAATATTTTTATTGGTAACACACCGTTTCCCTTCATTAACAATGAATAATAATGGATACATTTTTCTTTTAACCCCTTCCAGTAGATTTCAAAGGGAAGTGGATTTATGAAATCTGGTGATGTTCCAAGAGAATATAGTAGTAATATAAATATCACAATTTTAAGATAGTTTCAAACTAATAACATTGAAAGAGTCAAAAGATAACCTAATTTCTCGCCATAGATAATTTAATATTTTCAGTTCCAGTCAACACAAACTTAAAAATTAACGATTGTAGAGATTGTTAAAAGAATCTAATTATTTTTTTTAGATGTATGGAATGCCTGCCTCATCTATGACATATCCAAATGTATATAGCAATTGGGGTGTAAACGAAAATACTGCGAAAGAATGAAAGGAAAAAAATGTGTTGAAAACAAAAAATGTATTTCGTTTTCGTGTGGTTTTCTTACAAAAATATAAAAATAATTAAGAATTATATTTGTATTTTTTATATTGTACAAAAAATATTTAAAAGGAGAACTATTCCATACTCAAGCGTGACCAACGACGAAAAACTACTAGATTAATCAATTCATTCATAATGAAGCCCTAATTGCAGTCAATCACATTGTGTTTATTATTATGCAGACAGAGTTTTCGCATCGGCTGCCGTATTAGAAAGAAAGGATCAGCTGCTAATTTGAGTGGGGATGGTTCGTGCAAATTTGTTTATCTGAGAGGCGAGCATGCGTTTTAGAATAAATCAGTATTACGTCTACTACGCTTGTTTTACATTGCTGTAACACTAAAAAACACTACACAACTATAGTAGTTGCAACGACAAAACACATTAAACTGATAATAACTGGCATTAGAAAAGCCTTTTGTGCGCTTTAGAGCCGTATGTTTATTCAATACCGAATTATAATCATAAACAATCCTTATAACACTACGTGGATGACACCTTGAATGTTTGCAAATCGATTTTTAACCGATTTCAAAAATGGAGGAGGTTCTCAATTCGTCGGAATATTTTTAAATATATTTTCAGCGATAATTCTTTACCCGCTGTCCGATTTAAACTCTTTTAAATTAAATAAAACTGAATATTGTCTTTACGGTGGTCACAATGGTGCACCCTATGTATGAAAAAGGTGCACAAATTTTGACAAATTAAAATTATTTGACATTTAAAAAAAAACTAGCACCAACATAAAATTAATTAAAATAAAAGTAAGAATAATTAAATTAATTAAAATAAAAGTAAGAATAATTATAAATTTTGACAATGAAAATTGTATTGAAGATATGACAAATGTAAATTATTAAAAATAACTAAAATTTAAATAAACTCATCTTTATAAAAATATTAAATAATAGTTATTGTGACATCACAAATTTTCTTGCAAATGATTGGTTAAATCAAATATGTTCTGTCTAGATAATATCAATGCTTTAGATATTTGTTGATGAAACAAATGAAAAGATAGAAGGAAGGCAGACATATTTCTTCTTGACAAGGAGGTAGAAAATCTAGAAACCCAGGAAGAAAAATAAATAAAACGATGAAGAAACAAAAAAAAACAGATTATCAATACAAAAATTGTAATAAGTAGCTAGAAATATTAAGAAAGTAAGTTTGTTGTAATTTATAAATAATTGTGACTGGAAACATAAACTTTAGGAAAAGGTGAAAGTAGAACATAATAGACTTACTTACCCGGAGTTTTCATTAAAAACAATGGGAAAATGCGCCAACGGTCGAACGGGCTATTTTTTTTAAGACCATTTTAGACCCTCTGAAACACATTTCAAAATAATTTTTTTGCCCTGCAAACGCTTTAAAATATTTTTTCTTACCTTAAAACTTTAAAATGTGTCCTCCAATTTCGATGTTGAAAAAATTTGAACTACATCATTTTGATTAATTCATTGTTATAGAAACTGCTAAATAATAATACTAGGCCATCTGTTAAAGACAATATTGCCCCACTCACCCACTTAAAATTAGTTAACATTTAAAAGTGCGCGCCAATCGTCACTTCCGCTCTAGACAAAGGACAGTGAAGAAGAAAAGCAGTTGCATTTCAGCTCTTGAACAGTAAACTATTGAGTATTGACTCGCTTCATACAGTTTAAATGTTAAATTATGGTATTGTGAGCCTCCATAAGGCCACAGTCTTATTTGTTGTGTTTGTTGTTGTGTTTAACTCGAAATAAAATAACAAAAAATACAGTCCACGATTTTATTCCCGAGTGCCGAATACCATCCATAAAGCAATAAACCATTCCAAATTTTTTCGTAAACAGTTTATTTTCTTAATTTACGACCAGGTTAAAGTTCGTCAAAATGATCTAATTTTCATAAACCCAATGACAATTGGCATTGGCAGTGTGACATGTGTCTAAAAGAAATACAATGTTGTCATATCAGTGATTACATAGCAATGGTCATTTTTACCTATACCCTATACCCAGGACAACCAATTGACTTCATTATCAGAAAAATTAAAAAAAACTAACGATTTAAAAAAACCATATCAAGATCTTCTTCCTCACCCTCATCGACAGAGTAGGTACTCTTCGACGTCAATAATGATATACAATAAGAAGACGAAGCAACGAAGTCTTGTAGGGTGGCGGCTTGGCCGCCACTAGAAAATTTTGACCACTTCCTGGCTACGCCGACCGACATAAACTCCAACGGCCTGGACACAGTTCAAATTGAAAAAAAAGTACCGACATGCCGTAATTAACGCACAATCATCATGAAATTAAATAAAAAGACGGATGCCTGTGATTACTACAAATTTTTTCACTTCGGGATCCAAATTCACCTGCTGGCCAGACACTATGTAATTTTTCAGCTACGGTGTACGGCCTGGGGCCATTTCCAAACAGCCAACTTTCATTAACCGAACTATTTCCTGACGTTTATGTTTTCTTACTCGATTTGGCAACATCGCATTTATAAAAACTAGAATCTTCAATTGTCATTGAAAATAATTTACTGTCTATTTGTTTTTCTAACAAACTAAAAATGAAAAATAAGAAAAATTTTGATTGATAGAACCTACTAAACTGTTGATGCCTGAGAATTGCTATATATCAATAAAATATATATCAAACATTTAAGAAAGGAGCAAGCCGTGGTACACACTAGTAAGTATATTTATTTCGTTATTTGTATTACCATTGACTGTATAGTTTTGACAATATTCAAATGAAAGTAATTATCAGACTCATCATTGTGATATAATCCAGTAAATTATAATGTTGTGTAATGGGCATGAGTTATAAAAAAAATATATATTTATAAATAAAATAAAGCAATACAGTATATAAAAATAATCACATTATAATATATGATGAGGGTTTTAAGAGATTATTGAGAGGAATTGTGCACAATGATTTTTTAAAAAACATTCCGCCAACTTTGAATGCAATTTATAATATTATTTAAAGGAATGATAATTCACTATCGTTCTCTTTTGGGACCCTATGTAGATTGATGAGATATTGGTTTTGAAAATGTGAAGTATAATGTTAAAACGAAACATCATTCCTTGGCGGCGCAGGTATTTAAGATCCATCAAACAATACCGCCAACAAAATTATAACTTTAGGTATCTATTTAGATGAGACTTGGATCAACGTGGGTCAAATGATTAAATATGTATGATGTGATAGCGACAGAGTGAGATTTCAGACCTCGATGATGACTTATGTGTTGCGTAAATAGAAGCTTAAGTATGTTCTGAGGCTAGCATGTGGTACTTTAATGCTAATGTAATATGTAATCATGAAGCCTAATGCTATCTACTCCTCCATGTATTATCCAATGACAATGAAACTTGCAACATTTCACGGCGTATGTAAAGCTCTATTAAACCAAAGCTTCATAAATTGTCTTTGCACATTTCCAATAGCTGGACTAAATATTATTTAGTGGGATTAAATACAACTGATGCATACTAGGACTAGATATTCCCATCTTTCTTTTCCAAATTTGAAATTCCCAATATTGGGAAATGAAGTATTTCCTTTTCCGTCATTATTTTCAAGTCTGTAAACAATAATATAATAATAATACTCACATGTTTATTACTTAACAAACAAAGGAAACAAATATGTTTTGAAAGTCACATAATATATGAATATCTAATTATATTAATTATAATTTATTTTAAAAAATTTACTCATTTCTAAAGCAAGGCATATGTACAGCTTTTGGTAGGTACAGTTAAAAAATGGTCTGAACATAAACCTTTATTGTTATAAATGCTATTAATATTCAAACTGAACACTTGATACCAAGTCTGTTTGGTTTTGAGATGGGTAGGAAATCTAAAATAAGTAAAAAAAAGATTTAAAAAATCAATGGCAAGTAAGTATGTACAACACAAAAGATCTCTAATCCACTTTACAGTAGGTACATGAAAAGACTTAAATTAAGTAAAATCGCAAAGGAAACAATTATTTTCTGTTCTGTTAAACAAAACCAGTTGTAGTGATGCTCAAATGAAGAACATTCTACAAACATGTTTTTTTATGCATTCGTACATTATAAGTTACGCTTATAGAATATAGAATACTTACTTCCGAAACGTCTCTTTTGCTTTTGCAAACTATATAAGCTCTCAGCATAATTAGCACTTATTTTATAATAAAATTAAACCACAAAGTTTATAAAAGAGGCAAAATGTTATTATAGGCTACAAAAACGATCTTTTGAAACAGGAAAACAAGACGCCAAATGAAATGTCATTTGTCACCAATACGCGCGTTATTTAAATTTACCGTAGGGGTTACCCCCTCTTAGTACATAACAGTATATATGTTTTAAGACATTTTGCTTTTCTCTGGTTGTTCTTCTCGGCCGTAGCTGACATTTTTGTGGAACATGTTTAGCAAAAAACTTTTAACCCACGAGCCAATACAAAAAATTAAATCAAACTTACTTATAACTAATTATCCGAAAATTGTCTTTAATTCAGCAAATGCATATTGGTACCACAGATCAAATTGCTGGCACTAATAAATTTCTTTTATTGCAAATGTCTCCATTATATAATTTGCGTGGTTTCTGGGTTTTGCTTGTGACCCTGTCAAATCGACAGGCCCACATGATTGCTATATCATAACTTGTCAAAACCCTTGAGCAGCCATTTTTTTTGAAATGCCTAATAAATAGAAAACAATAAACTATGATTAAGTGTAAAGAAAAGGTCCTTTATTTCTCACAAGTCAATTTATTGGCGACCGGTTTCGAAGTTGTCACTTCATCATCAGACACACCTAAATGGAATGTCAAGGAGTCAGTTGTAATAAAAACAATTATAAAAGCAAGAACGGACTTTAACATATACAAAATAACAGAAAAAACACAAAAGAAAGTTATTTCAAGATTTTACTTTTTTTATAAACTGCTTTCAGTTTTTAATAATATATTTTTTGTTATTTATTATCTGTTTTCAATCATATTTGAGAGCATCT